AATTTTGATATGTTTTAGCTGAGACAATTCTCTACAAATGCATTGCCCACGATTTTTCATTTTGACAAATGGATCATGGCGTATTTTTGCGATTAATGGAGGCATGTCAATTTTTCACATTTTGCGTGTATTCTCTATGGGACATGACTTTTTCTCAAAACTGGATTCTACTTTCTCGTCTTTCGCGAGCAATATCTCCGTCGTGTTATCTTTGTTTACGCTGAGCTTTGAGTATGTTGTAGCTGAGAGAATAAGCTATCACAAGTGTGTCCTTTATTTTTCAATCAGATACCGGGATCATGCTCATGTTTCACTTACAAAGTGGGATTTGACAATTCCATTTGCCGTTTACGTGTAATCGCTATGGGAAATGTTTTGGTATATCGGTAACGCACTTGACTTCCGACCTCGAGACCCCTGGTTCGAGTCCGGGCGTCTCCAACAATTTTTTTTTTTTCACTTTTTTTTCTTTTTGACCTTTCACTGTACCATCTCCTTTAAATATTAAAACACGTACAATCGCAAATAATGTAATAGACAACCATATTTACTTTATTATTACCCTATTATCACTTGATCCATTACTTTTTGCGTGTAATCCTTATGGGAGATGACTTTTTCTCAAATCTGGATTCTACATTCTTGTCTTTTGCGAGCAATATCGCCATTATTTCGGCTTGATTTTTGTTGATTTTTGAGTATGTTGTAGCTGAGACTGTATACTATCTAAATATTCCCTCATTTGTTCGGTCTGATGTCATTATGGTCTGTTGATGATAATCATCAACATCATCATGATCATGATCATCATCATCGTCGTCATCACCATTACTATCAAGATCATCATCATGTTCATCATCATCATCATTATGATCATCATTGTTTACATGTCTATATTACCTCTTCCTTTCTCTATATAGTAAATATTCAAATTAATAAGTTTGAAGACAGACCACCTTATTCGTCAAAGTGACGAATTAAAATCTAGTTTATTATTATTATTATTTATTTTTATTTCTCCCCGTTTTTTGTTCATCGGTTAACTCAAGATCGGTTGTGTTAATTTCTTTCAATTTTGACACAGTCATAGATCATTGTCATGAGACGTGACAGTAACCTTTTCAAGGTCATCAGGTCATCATGACGTCATCCAGGCGCCATTTTGTGAAATCACGTTATCCATCATATCTTCATGATGCATAAGCAAAGGTCATTCATATTAATATCACATATACTTCAGGTCAAGGGTCAACAAGTCATGTCATCAAAGGTCACAAAAAGGTCATGACGCGCACGTACGCGCGCGTCAAAATTTAAAAATGCTCAAAATCACTTAACTATTAAAGGAGAGTACGAATCAGGTCATTTTAAGCATTTCAAAATTTTCCGTCCGTAAGTGTCCCCGCGCGCGTTGCGCGCGCTCACGACGCGCGGAAAAGGTCAAATTCATTTTTTTTTACATGATTTAGATTTCTCTTACCGTAAATGACAATTGACATTAATTTCAGTCACCCTTGACCTTTCATAAGGCCGTGAGCGCGCGTCAAAGTTCAAAATCCGCGCGTGCTGCTATGGGAAATATAATGCAAATTTGATCAAAAACATGACATTTTAAGAATAAAAATAGCTCTTCAGATAATCAATTGATCCTAACTTTTATATCATGGTTGGATAAAACATGAGTTGGAGATATGATTTCATGTGTAATTTGACCCTCAATTAACTCATGACGTCATCATAATGGCCTCCGAACTCAAAATTTTAATTTGCATATTATGACGTCAGCAGATTTTTGGAAAATTGATTGTATCTCTGTAAATATTGATCAATTTTCTTTCAAATTTTGATATGTTCTACCTGAGAATATTCTCTACAAAAGTAGTCACCACTATATTTCATTTTGACAATGGTATCATGGCGTATTTTTGCGATTAAAGGAGGCATGTCAATTTTTCACATTTTGCGTGTATTCTCTATGGGACATGACTTTTTCTCAAAACTGGATTCTACATTCTCGTCTTTCGCGAGCCATATCTCCGTCGTTTTATCTTTGTTTACGCTGAGCTTTGAGTGTGTTGTAGCTGAGACAATAAGCTATCACAAGTGTGCCCTTTATTTCTCGATCAGATGCCGGGATCATGCTCATATCTCACATACAAAGTGGGATTTGATAATTCCATTTTCCGTTTACGTGTAATCTCTATGGGAAATGTTTTGGTATATCGGTAACGCACTTGACTTCCGACCTCGAGGTCCCTGGTTCGAGTCCGGGCGTCTCCAACAATTTTTTTTCTTCACTTTTTTTTCTTTTTGACCTTTCACTCTACCATCTCCTTTGAATATTAAAACACGTACAATTGCAAATAATGTAATAAACAACCATATTTACTTTATTATTACCCTATTATCACTAGATCCATTACTTTTGGCGTGTAATCCTTATGGGAGATGACTTTTTCTCAAATCTGGATTCTACATTCTTGTCTTTTGCGAGCAATATCGCTGTTATTTCTGCTTGGTTTTTGTTGATTTTTGAGTATGTTGTAGCTGAGACTATACGCTATCTAAATGTTCTCTAATTTTGTTCAGTCTGATGTCATCGTGGTCTGTTGATGATAATCATCAACATCATCATGATCATCATGATCATCATCATCGTCATCCCCATTACTATCAAGATCATCATCATCATGATCATCATGATGATCATCATTGTTTACATGTCTATATAACTTCTCCCTTTCTCAATATAGTAAATATTATAATCTCTCATAAGACTTGAAGACAGACCACCTAATTCGTCCCCATGACGAATTAAATTTCTAGTTTCTGAGTGTAATTGTAATAACACTCAGAAAAGCCAGAAGTATCTTATATGATAACGACAATAATGAAAAGCAAATCCAGAGAGAAGATAAAAACCCAATTTAAATCGGTTTCCCGAATTTTTTTCTTCTTCCCGATTTAAAAAAAAAAAAAAAAAAAAAAAAATCCAGATTTTTTTTTTTTTTTTTTTTACCAGATTTTTTTTCTTCCCTATTTATCCTGATTTTCCCGATTCCCCCCTTATTTTTCTCTATTCTTCCATATTTTGCCATATTTTTCCCCCAATTTTCTTACTCGAAAGGGGGGAATGTTGTTAGATGCCACTTTTTCCTACGAATCCTCTTCTTTTTTTATTCAAAGGGGGCGTGGTGAAGGGGAAAACAAAAAACCTATTTTTTTTTAGTGCTCACTATCACCCCTGAAACATAAAATGAGCTGTAAAGGGTACATGAGCATTTGTCTACATCAATAACCCTTTTCTTGTAATGGCCATAATTAAACTGATTGAATCTTTGCGCAGCATAAAACGTACGACCATTCGGAACAATGGTCTGAAAATCAGACCATTACTTACAGGCTCTAAAGCTCCTAAGTCGATTCAACAACAGTCGTTATTTTCCCACTTAAAGACATTTTCAAGCCCCCTTTCTTTAGGGAAGTTCTAAATTAGTATTATCTTTCAAATGCCGTTGGAAATTAACCTTTTCATTTTTTTTTGGCCTGCAAATGGGAATTAGTACCTTTAATATACCAAGGTACTAGGGGGATATCCACCAAAAACATCTTCAGCTCAAAATCTATAGTTTACACACTCTTTGACAAAACTCAATGAAACTGAAATCACCTTGAAGGTTTTTTAATTATCTATCATATGACACTAAACCAATGGTGAATTGAGGTTATACTAAAAAAGTAATCAATACAACTTGATTTAAACACACCACACACGTCCTCAAATCACCAATACAGATATATGCATACAGTTGATACACATATGGGCGAAAATGTCGTTTTTGTAGAAAACAAGTCAATAACTTTGGGATTTTACAACTTTTCACTGAAGAGAGATATAAGCCTCTCCTTTCGCACGATATTTTTCCTTGTACATGGGCAGATTCATAGAAATTCACGAATAAAGATACATCTGCAATTTTGATATATTATGGAAAATATGTTTCTTACTTAAAATCACAATGTTAATTAACCCTAATTCTGTTAACATCAGTATCCAAATACAGATTCTGTAATTTTCTTTTATTTCATAACACACCAAACTCATGGTTGTTTAAGGTTTCCTTTAAACATTATTTACAAAATACTGTTTTACGTCAAAAAGGCCGCTTTTTGGGATTTCCGATTTTGGGGAGACCACCAATAAAAACATCTACCACAACTCTGAAATACTGTGTATTATGATAAAATATTTAGAATAAACAAGGTGTGCCTAGTTCGTGCGTTAGTAGCAGGCAAAACCCTCTCTTCTGTCGTTGGTCCTCCGCTTATGTCCTGGACTTGCATTTAAACCATTACATTTAGTAAACTGATGTCTTAAAATGAATATCAAGTTCTTATATTAGTAAACTTAGATTATATAGTCGTTGATTGTCTGATGAAACAAACCTTTATCACCCTGAGCATTCTTTTATGAGACACTCTTAATTCAGCAAAATGAATAACAGGGGCAGGGGCGTAGTGTTTCCCGATTTATCTATAATTAATCAAGAGTCTCCAGCTATATGATAATTGAATGCTGTGTTGCATTTAGGGGAAGAAGTTCTTATCTTTTACGATAATAACGTAATTACCTAGACAGAAATAGGAAAAAGAACATGATTTCTTTAATTAAACTAACATTTGTCAAGCCGGTCAGTGGAGCCAGACGTATTCCTAGTATAACCTTTTCAATATTAAAGAGACTGAAGCTCTCGGTATTATAACCCTGAGCTATGAAAACATGTATATTTCATCATTTATATCGAAAATCCAGTGAATGTGTAAACAAGACATTTCTATGTTTGTTTAATATAATTCATCTTATCGTTGTCTTTTTCAGGGTATTGGTGATACGCATTCGGGGTATTACCCAATTAACCACAATGATTGAGCCACAGTATAGCTGCAGCTGACACAGTGCATTGCGTTGTACCTGACATCATTTTTTTTCCTCACATTAGTTGAGTATCAGTGATGACTACGGTACACACTACCTGGTCAAAATGACATGTTGCATACCTGTTATACCTCGCGGTATGTATCAACCCATCGTCTGCTGAAACCTGGTTATTTCTGTATTAAACCTATGAGTAAAATGATAATTCAGCTGTCAACATGTTAACTTCCAGAAGAAATCAAATGAATTATTGTATCTTCATGTTTAGATAATGTTGGTTCCTGCTAACCAGCTTTATACATTGTCATTGTTAATTATGTTTAACGAACGTAACTCATGCCTCACTTTCATCATCATAATTGGAATGATTCCACTCCTTATTAAAGGTTTTCAAAGCAGCGGAATGTTTTACATTCAGATATATAAACACTTATGAAGAGTCATGTCGTTTGTACTTTCATAAATCAAGTCTTCTGATGAGCGATGATGTCAGTTCGGTAAAAGAAACCAGGGGCCCGTTTCATAAAGCTTTTTATCTATAACAAATGCTACATTTCTATGACAAATTTGCTCTCAGCCAATCAGATGCCAGGATTCAGTAGCTTATAACAGTAGCTTATAACTTGTTATTGGTATCGAGTTTTATGAAACAGGGCCAACTGTTTTGGGATTTTTTTTTGTGGAGGATTTTCGGAATTACATATTACATGTGCACATTGTTTCCAACGTTTCCTATTGGTCTTTGTAAACTTTTCAGCCGTTTCAAAATCGCTATTTGAGGCTTCTTGAAGGTATTTTGATTAAAAAAAATAAAATAACTGAACTTCCCAATGTTTGTATACAGACATGATATTACATGGGATTATTTTGATAATGATGTAATGTAGAAAATACATGTTAGTAGCTGTTGTGGATCTACTACGCTTATGGAAATTTTTGATGTAGTCTTTGACCTTGATCGAAATGTGCATGAGTGGCAAATTCTTGATATATTGTTTAATCCATTATAAACTTTATTTGAGAAATGTATCGATAAATTGAGTGGTATAGCAAAAAGTAACACAGATATAATTGTTACAAGTGAGAATTAATATGCAACCCTACCTACATAATGGTCTCTGTCAGTCGATGCTAGCATTGTGCTTTACATGAGAACTGGTTCCTTCCATCAAGCTTTTTCAATAAATCTGTCTTATAATGCAAAAAGTGATAGTCTGTATAAAACAATGAACCAATGTGCACAAAATACAAAGCGCAGATAACTAATTATGATACTCATCGTAGAGGGCGTATAAAATAGGATATGTTTGAATCCCTATAATTATTAGTTGTAAATGCAAATTTCTCTTCTTTTGTTCACTTAAAACATCTACAGTACAATGTCCATACAAAGATTACAAATTTATATACGTTTTCTAGCTTCAAATATCTTGGAAGCAAGTGATATTAATTTAAAAAAAAACAACACATAATCGGATTAAATGGGAGTTGACCTTTTAAAGCAGCATCTTCTTCCTTTTCGAAATTCCTTTCATATTTAGCAAGCTATATTTTCTCCATGCTTGTAAAGTTGTGAAATGCAACTTTTTTTCAACATGAGTATATTGTCTGAAGAGAATACCAAAGTGTACCAAGATTCCGTAATCATTTGCTATGCGATTTCTCATCATACACTTCAGTTCCTATTATAAAACCCTCCCCACTTTATTGAAGCGACCCCTTTCCGTTTTAAATCATTCTTACATTTTTCAGTTTCAAACAGAGGCGGCCCTCGGGGGGGGGGGGGGGGGGGGGGGGGGGCAGGGGGGCACAGTGCCCCCCCCCCCACTTTTTCAGATGCCCCCAAAATGCCCCTTTTTACATAGGAAAAGTGCCCCTTTTATTTTGTAAGAAGTGCCCCTTTTACATAGGAAAGGTGCCCCTTTTACTTTGACAAGTGCCCCTATTACTTAGTAAAAGTGCCCCTTTCCCCTTTTCACCTCTGACGAGTGCCCTTTTTATTTTTGACACGTGCCCCTTTTCCTTCGACATGTTCCCATTTTCCTTTGCAATAAATGTTCATTTTCCATTCTCATGAATCTTGAAATTATCTTGAATATGTGCCCTTTTTAATCTCTAGTAAGTGCCTCTTTTCAGGTACGAGAAGTGCCCCTTTTCACTTTTAATAAGTGCCCCCTTCACCTCTGATGATTGCCCTATTCAAAACTGAGAGGTGCTCTTTTTACTTTGACAACTTCCCCTTTTTTCCTTTGTAAGAAGTGCCCCTTCTCCTTTTAATAACTACCCCTTTTTTAAACTCGGATGAGCGCACCTTCCATTTTAACATGTGCCCCACTTATTTTCTAATAAGTGCCCCTTTTCCTTATGATAAGTGCCCCCATTAAAAAGAGAGAGCTCCTTCCCCTTCTCATAACTTCCCCTTTCCCTTTCTAATAAGTGCCCCTTTTCCTTATGATAAGTGCCCCCATTAAAAAGAGAGAGCTCCTTCCCCTTCTCATAACTGCCCCTTTTAAACATCTGAACGGTGCCCCCTTTTCATTCAACAAATGCACATTTTCCTTTATTATAAGTGCCCCTTTTACATTTTCATAAGTGCCCCTTTTCATATCTGGTCAGTGCCCCTTTGCAACTCTGATAATTCCCTTTTTAATAATGATACGTGCCCCTTTTCCTTTCTAATAAGGGACCTATCCCCTTTTCACCTCTTATAAATGACCCTATTAAAATATGATGGGTGTCCCTTTTCCGTCAACAAATGCCTATTTCCCATTTTCGTAAACGCCTCCTTTTCATCACTGGTGAGTGCCTCTTTTCAAGTGAAAAAATGCCTCATTTTCACCTCTTATAATTATCCTTTGTACTTATACACGTGCTCCTTTTCTTTTCTAATAGGTGTCTTATCTCTTTCGATAATTGTCCCCTTTTCATGTAATCATTAAACGTGCCCCTTATTTAAAGCGACTAAGAGCAGTTTCCCCCAAAGTTCGCTCGCTGTGCTCGCTCGCATTTAAAGATTATATAATTATGTTACTTATCAAAGGTCTTTTCAGTCTTCCATTATGAGAATGTGCTTATAACCCCATCACGATTGGCTTTTTTCCTCTTTATAAGATGTAATTTTTCGCACTGCGACCTCACAGATCTTTAAAAATTTTCTCGCTCGCTTCGCTCGCTCGTAAATGCATATTCAGACATCACACCCAACTGTAAAGTTTGATACTTAAGCGATATCTTGTATGATGTATGAAGAGAAACAAATATTGAAATCATCCCTGATAATGTAATCACAATGTAGGGGTATATACCAATGTCTAAAAATTGTATATTTTCGCTTCGAGATTTCCCACTGTAGGTGCCCTTTTTTCCAGAAAGTGCCCTTTTTTGTTGATGCCCCCCACTTTGAAAGTCGCTCGGCCGCCCCTGGTTTAAAATTATATTTTTATCATACCGGAGTAAGCTTCTGTTATTGCAGAACAGAATATGTTTGTTTTAGTTCAGTATTTTGGGGTATTTTAGTGCAATATTTATGATTGTACATTTGTGTTATTTTATTTGGTTTTAGTCAAGTAAGGTAACATGGTTATAGAACGATCTATGTGTTAATGGCCTTGTATTAAGTTTGAGATTATTCATTATATTCTCGGAGCATTAATATAAAAGTAATGCAATTGCGTCAGTATTTCACATCACCGTTAAGTTTGAGAGATTATACTCGCTGAGACCCATGTAATGTATATAGCTAATTAATGTACTTATTATTAATTTGTAAATAATTTGTTTATGAACCCCCACTGTATTATATGTACTATACAGTGCGTCCCAGAAAAAACGAAACCCAGAATTATCAATGTTTTATCATAACTTAATCGCAATTATAACTAATAAATGACACATATTTGTAAAGCTTAGATCCTCCTCTTTCATTTCATGCAACTCATATGATGCATCTTTCAGGCATGAGTGGTTAAAAACAATTTGAAGAGAGGAAACCAAAAAGTCATTTGGCGGGCGGTATCTGAATTTCAAAGAGAAAATCACATTTCTAGAAAGTTCAATTTCTGCCATTTCATATGACACCTCAATCAATTATAATTGCGATTAAGTTATGATAAAACATCGATAATTCTCGGTTTCGTTTATTCTGGGACGCACTGCATATCATTTTATAAGTATATATCATATGTATATATACATTATACTATTCAACTATTCCTTGGATTGCTATTAGAATAACACTTTTTATTGTATTGGAAATAGGCTTGTGTGACGAAAAAATTCAGGAAGTTCATACAAAAGAATGAAATATGTGTTTGAAGATTAGGTTATTGTGTCTAATAGTAATTGCTTTTGTAAGTGATAATTCAATTATGTTAATCTTAACAGCTGCATACGAAACTCAGGTAACATTATTATTTGTCATTATTTTATTCTTTATTGATATGCATGGTATTAAGAATATGTGGTCGATAATTTTAGGAGTGTATACGAGTTGTTTCTATCATATATTTATGAACGACTATATATGCCCACGCATGAACAACTTTAAACGTCAAAGTTCTTCTTGCATAAACAAAGATATAGAAACAATTATCTAAAAACAGATATATGTTCTCGTAAAATTAGGTGTAATGATAGTCAATGTAGTGAACACAAATAATAATAATAATAATAATAATAATGATAATAATAATAATAATAATAATAATAATAATCATATTAATATTCAGCTTTTATATAGCGCTTAAAGGTAAAGACCAGTTTTGGGAACGACCCTCTCTCAAAAAAAATGAAATGGAAGCTCTCATTACCAATCATGTGAATGAATATGTTTTGACTAATACGTGATGATACAAATTTTGCCGGGAACCTTAAGGGTATCGTCTATTGAGGTAATGAATATGTGTGTGTGAGACAAACAGTAGGAATGTTTGAGCACAATTCTCATTTCGTCGGCTGTGTAATACTATAAAAAAGAAGGAAAAATAATAAAAACGAACGATTATCCTAAATGTTACATTTAAAATAATGTTCACTGTGGCCAAATATGATTTTAGAAATAAGCAGATCTGTTAAAACCCGTGTTATGAGAACTTACCACATACATTTCAACAACAAATCGCATTGGAAACTATAATAATGTTAAACTAATTGAGACGTGAGATC